ATAGTTGCTCTCATCCACTTTATGTGCATCATATTCTGTCAACTTGTATTTTTCAGCTGTATTTTTCCAATTAGCTCCTCCTTTTTCCTTCCAGTCTAAAAAAGGAATCCTCTGTGTCTCCAAAGCGAAGCCCTTTACTTGCCCCTTGGTTCTCATAACTCTGTGATCTTGGTCTCGGAGTCTTCCAACTCATCCACCTTCTGTCTGTTTCCTCTGTATACAAAACCCTTCCTGCCCCTGCCGACGCAGAGGTCTTCTATACCAGCAGCCAGCCAACCCTTTCATTAGACCTTCAAGCTCTCCAAAGGCTCAGATTAAAACCATTGCCATATCTAAATGAGGCTGTTGTCCTTTCCCTCTGAGCCTGCCTTTCTCCCCCAGCCTGGGAGTATCCTCTTGCCAAATCAAAAGACTTTTTCCTAGCGCTTTAGCTTTAAAGATACTTGAAGGTCTGAGTGCTTTAACCTCACATACCCTTACTTAAAGTTGTATCACTGCTGCATGTATCAATTGTGATACAATAAAGAATATATCTGGCCTTTGTGCCTAGTTCCTAGCACACAACTTCGAAAACTCTGGAGTTTCCTGATGGAAGTGTCTTTTGTATTCATGACAAGCCGCTTTCACCCATCTCTGGTTTATGCTAACAAGGTTACCCATGGTGGGCCCTTAGATAGTTTCAAGGGAGGAGTTGGCCAAGCCAGAAAGACTAAGCATGTCATTAGAACATTGGAATTTTTAGCCCCATCCCACCCCAATCTCCAAGGAGGCAACAGTGCTGGAGATTGAGTTCAATTTTGACATGGCCAATGATTTAAGCAATGATGCACACGTAAAGAAACCCCAGTAAAAACTCTGGATGGTGATGCTTGGGGAGCTTCCCAGTTGGTGAACATTCCAATGTACTAGAAAGGTGGAGCATCCTGATTCCACAGGGACAAAGGCTTCTGAGCTCTGGGCCCTTCCAGAGCTTGCCACCCTATGTATCTCTTTACCTGGCTCTTCATTTGTATTCTTTATAATAAAACGGTGATTGTAAGTAGAGCATTTTCCTGAGTTCTGTGAATCATTCTGCAAATTATTGAAACTGAAGGAAAGTCATGGAAACTCCCAAATTTGTAACCAAGTCGGACAGAGGTGTGGGTAGCCTGGGGACTCCATGTATGGCTGGAGTCTGAAAGAAGGGTGGACTTGCTGAGAACCTTGCTCTTTAACTTGTGGGATCTACACAAATTCCAAGTAGTCAGTGCCAGATGACTTACACTGCAGGACAGTCAGCCGGTGTCACAGAATAGGTGTTGGAAGGCACCACTGCTCTTGTCCAGGACAAAGGCCAAAGAAATAGATTTGAAGATGTTGAAAAATGAAAGAACGTAGAAAACAAGCATGAGAAGGAAAAGCAAAAATAATTTTTAAAAAAAAATGTAAATAATACAATTTAATGAAAGAATGACCACTGTAAGTACACATCTACTCAGTCTACGACTAGTTACCAGGGCCTTCTGGATGTCCAAATTTGCACTAGATACATAGGCAGGAAACAAGGAAAAGGAAACTAGAAAACACTGCCAGCATCCTCATGACACTTGGCTGGAGGAATTGGAACACATAGCACTAAATCCTTAAAGACAAATGAAAGGCCAGGCATGGTGGCTCATGCTGATAATCCCAGCACTTTGGGAGGCCAAGGCAGGTGGATCACTTGGGGTCAGGAGTTTGAGACCAGCCTGGCTAACATGATGAAATCCCATCTCTACTAAAAATACCAAAATTAGCTGGGTGTGGTGGCGGGTGCCTGTAATTCCAGCTACCCAGGGGGTTGAGGGAGGAGAATTACTTGAGCCCGGGAAGTGGAGGTTACAGTGAACCGAGATTGCGCCACTGTATTCCAGCCTGGGCAACAAAGCGAGACTCCATCTCGAAGGAAGGAAAGAAGTAAGGACGGAAAGAAGGGAGGGAGGGAGGGAGGGAGGGAAAGGAAAGGAAGGAAGGAGAATGAAGGGCAGTTGACAACATATGCCAAGTGAGATGTGTATGACGAACAAGACCATAAAGAACAAGGTGAGCCACTCAAAGCCACACAAAGGCAGAACAGGACCATTTCAGTCTTTCTCATCAATCTCTTCTCAGCACTCAGTAAACATTTAAATTCATTAAGAGCAAAGAAAATAAAAGTTGACAGTAATCAAGAAACATGTAGTCATGGGTCGCTACTGGAAGTAACTGGCACCAACCCTTTCTTGGAAAACTGGCAACAAATGGCCCTGAACAGGCAATAATTAAACCCGGCCTTTCTTATACAAACTGTATTTCAGGATTAAAAGAGCAGCCATAACGGATGAGGAAACTTTATTCTTTTTTTGCGGAAGAATCCCATTTAATACATGTTTAAAAGATGACAAATTAGGAACATCATTTCATAACCATAATAGGTTGGTTGCCCAGTGCACACAGCAAGTCCCTAGGCTGAGACACCAGGTTGCGACAGACAAAGAGGTTTAATTATAGGGCTGCCAGGTGAGGAGATGGGAGAAACCTCAAATCTGCCTCCTGAAGAGTTGGGGGCTCGGGCTTTTAAGGGCTTGGGAGTGTACCAAAGTGTGGAGATCGTCGATTGGTTGAAGAGTGCAGTGTGAAGTCATGGGACAGAGAGATGAAGAAACTGTGTTCTCATGGAGTACTACTGACTCTGCCTCTGTTGAGGTCTTCAAACTGGCTGGCATCAGCTGTTCTGCTGGAACTCAGAATCAGGAGAGCATCTTAAGCAATTCTTAAATAGCAGCCTTATAATTTTCTTCTTCTTTCCTTTTTTTTTTTTTTTTTTTTTTGAGGCAGGGTCTAGCTGTGTCACCCAGGCTGGAGTGCAGTGTTGTGATCTCAGCTCACTGCAACCTCCACCTCCCAGGCTCAGGCAATCCTCCTATCTCAGCCTCCTGAGTTGTTGGGACTACAGGCACGCAGCACCACACCCAGCTGATTTTTGTATTTTATGAGGTCCATGGGTTTTACCATGTTACCCAGGCTGGTCTTAAACTCCTGAGCTCAGGTGATCCACCTGCCTCAGCTTCCCAAAGTGTTGGGATTACAGGCATGAGCCACTGTGCCCAGCCAGAAGCCTCGCGATTCTAATGTCAGAGATCCTATCTATAGGAACAATGGGGACATAAATGGTCGGTATCTAATGCTCCTGACTTTCAGTTACAAGGAAGTGGACCAAAGTGCAGCATGATTAATGCTTAATTACAACAATATTTCTGTCCAGAATTCACATTAACCCTATGAGGATGGCTTCAATTTTGCAACCTACGATGAAATAAATGATTTAGGCAGAGATTATCAACAGATGAAACCATTAGATGAAACGATGGGGATATGGTCAATGAAATAATGGGGTGGAGGCATGTCACCTCCCAAATCCACAGCATTTTTTTATTTTTGAGACAGGGTCATACCCTATTACCCAGGCTGGAGTACAGTAGCACAGCCACAGCTCACTGCAGCCTCAATCTTCCAGACTCAAATAATCCTCCCACCTCTGCCTCCTATGTAGCTGGGACCACAGGTACACACCACAACACCTGGCTAATTTTTAAAATTTGTTTGTAGAGATGGGATTTCACCATGTTGTCCAGGCTGGTCTCAAACTCCTGATCTCAAGCGATCCTCTGACCTCGGACTCCCAAAGTGCTGGGATTACAGGCATGAGCCACCATTCCTAGCACCAAATCTACAGTTTAATCTCAGCGTTAGCAAGAGAGAGACAGCCAACCATGGGCTGCCTCCAGGCATGAAACAGTACAGAGCACGCAGCACAATCCATTATGTGATCTTGCCAAATTGATTTTTTTAAATTTGGCACCAACATTGGCTATAAGAAACAAAACCAATTGAGTTAGCAAATTCCAGAGAAAATGTATAGGCCAGACAGACTTCAAAAACAGACAGCAACAAAATATGCAGATACCAGGACAGAAATGGGAGGGGTGTGCATTCTCCTAACCACGAAAGGGAAATAAGCCAAGAACCTAACAAGAATCTAATTAAGCAGAGTTCAAGGTCAAGACCCCAGACCTATATTTCCAACCCAGTTACCCTAGCAACCAGCTCCCCACTTACATCAAAGGAAGGAAACAATGATTAGAGGCAGGAC